CCTCCCCCTCCTTCCTACCGTCCACATGCGTCCCGCACACCCAGTACAGCGTTTCGTGGCCCTCCTCCCCCTCCTCCCTGCGATCCACCCACCCAGTACAGCGCTTCGTGGCCCCATAGGGAGCCCCACCGAAGGTCCCAGTGCTACCGTCTGCATGCGTCCCGCACACCCAGTACAACGTTTCGTGGCCCATAGGGAGCCCCACCGAAGGTCCCAGTGTTACCGTCCGCATGCGTCCCGCACACCCAGTACAGCGCTTCGTGGCCCCATAGGGAGCTCCACCGAACGTCCCAGTGCTACCGCCCGCATGCGTCCCGCACACCCAGTACAGCGTTTCGTGGCCCTCCTCCCCCTGCGATTCACCCACCCAGTACAGCGCTTCGTGGCCCCATTGGGAGCCCCACCGAAGGTCCCAGTGCTACCGTCGGCATGCGTCCCGCACGCCCGGTATAACGCTTCGTGGCCCCATTGGGAGCCCTACCGAACGTCCCAGTGCTACCGTCCGCATGCGTCCCGCACACCCACTTCAGCGTTTCGTGGCCCTCCTCCCCCTCCTCCCTGCGTTTCACCCACCCAGTACAGCGCTTCGTGGCCCCATAGGGAGCTCCACCGAAAGCCCCAGTGCCACCGTCCGCACGCGCGCGGGAAAGGTAATTTGGCATTTTCACCCGCGCAGTGCAGCGCTTCGTGGCCCCATAGGGGGCTTCACCGAAGCCCCCAATGGACCGTCCGCATGCGCCCTGACAACCCAATTTGGCATTTTCACTCACTCAGTAGAACGCTTCGTGGCCCCATAAGGAGCTCCACCGAAGCCCTCAGTGGGACCGTCCGCACGCGCCCCGGAAACCCAATTCGGCACACCACCCGCACAGCACAGCGCTTCCCCCCGCCCAGTGCAGCGGTTCGTGGCCCCATAGGGGGCTTCATCGAAGCAGATATTCACAATTACGGTACCCACAACTGCATATGGTTGGGATCTTCGCCAGGATAATTGGGGCACGCAACTGGGGCTTTCTGGTGAGCGCTGGCCAAAACCCGGCACAGGGCTCGCAAGATCTCCGCCCCGACTTGCTGTGCTGCCTCGGAGGCTCTCACGGCGAGCGGCATAAGCTTGGCTAAGCCCTCGCTCTCAGGAGCTCCAGACGACTCCGATGTTTCTCTTGTTTCTGCGTCGGGAAATGTCTCTGGCTGGGGTTCGGCCCGAATGTGGCTGACTCAGACGACGGCCAACGTCGTCTGCCTTCGAGAGCACCACCTGAGATCCCAGGAGGACCTCCAGGAGGCCTCGGCCCGGGCCCTGCGCCACGGGCGGAAGTCGCTCTGGTCTGCGGCCCTCCCCGGGGGCAACGGTGGCACCCGAGGAGGCGTTTGCATCCTGGTCAAGTCGTTATTGGGACTGCACGCGCTCGGAGAAGCACCTACTATTTTCGAAGGAAGGGCTATCGGCGGAACCATCCAAGTACCAGGTGGGTGCCACATCGCCGTCCTTTCTACTTATTTGCAGCATGGCGTCGGCCTCGCCGAGCCGAGTGCGCCCGTGCTCCGCAGCGTGAGCGGGCACGTCGGGTCTTCTGGTTTGACATGGCTCGCTGGCGGCGATTTCAATTTCGAGCCCCCAGCCTTCCAGGCCTCGGACTTCCTGCATATCGCGAGAGGGACTCTTACCGTATATTGTAATATGCGAAAACTCATCGCCCTGGACCTCGTCTACCGTGCTCGCGTATCCTGAACGAATTGGAAATACACCGCATTATTCTTCTCGCGATCAGTCCAGCGGAAAATAAGAGGCGGTGCCCCGTCGTTGTCTTCACGCGCAGGACGCCTTCGGCCTCGTGGTAGTTCTCGACCACGCATAACATGCCGTTCACGAAATCATCCTCTTTGCGAGCGTTCTTCGCGAGGTAAATCTGCATGCCCTTGTAGACCGGCACAGCGCTCGGCAGGGGGCGGCGATCGGTGCGGAACTGCCCATGCTCGTAGTTATCTGGGTTCAGTTCCACGTCGCCCGGAAGGACTGCCAGCGGGGACTTGCGACCATACAGAGCCTTCACTGCAGCTTCGTTCACCGCATTCGCTCCCTTCCTGGTACACGTGACGACGGTCGTCTCCGGGTGCGCCTCGTAGAGCTTCTTCAGATCCGTCGGCGTTGGATCGCCCATCTTCCAAGCTGTGTGCCCCCGACAGATCTTCGCGAACGTCTCCGTCGACGGCTTCGCCGTGCGGATCTCGTCGAGGATATCCTGATAGCGCTCCTCCTTGCATCTCCACGCATTGTGCAGCTTCACGTGATGGCACGCTGGCCGTGACCAGGCGGCGCTCTCCCACGCGCGCGTCTCCCCGACGCCAGGAAGCTGATACTTGTCGCCCAGGAACACGAGCGCCGGGACCTTCTCTGCGACGCTCCACAACTTCACCATGCGCTCAAACTGCGGACAGTCAAGGAGCGACACCTCATCCACGACGACCAGGTCGTACATGGTCATCAGCGGCCACGACTCCGTGACCGGCTCGTTCAGCTTGAACGCTGCGTGACACGTAGCCACCTCCACGCCGTGCATGTCGTTCAAAGCGCCCCGCACGCGGCTCGCGAGCTGCGCCGTCGGGAGCGAGAAGAGCACTCGGGCGCCATTATCCTGGGCACGCCTGATGCAAGCCTTCACCACGGTGGTCTTCCCCGTGCCTGGTTTGCCGAGGCAGATAATAGGTTTTCCCTTCTGCCATGCCTCCTCGCGCGCCTCGTCCGCGTCCTCCCAATCATCCGAGTGGTTCGCCCTGAGCGCACGGTCGACGCTCTCGTTGATCGCGGACTCGAACTGGAGCTGCTGCTGGTTGAACATCACGTCCGCCGCTCCCTGCGCGTCGTCTCGCGGACGTCTGCGATTCCCATCCGCGGCCGCCTCCGCATCCGCCGCGGCGCTCTCGTCGCTCTTGTCAAGAACGCCAGCCACATGCATATTGATGAGCTTCCTCTGCCCCACGACCATGCTCGGAACGGTCTCGCTGAACTTTGTCGACTTCGCGGACGCCTTCATGTAGTCCACGAGAAGCTCGTCGTTGGTGAACACGTCGCGATGCTCTGCGGCGACGCGACTCTGGTCCGAGCACAGCCGCAGCGCCGACGCCAGGTAGCGATACTTCCCAGGGACACGCCGTTCTATGTCCTCGAATACTAGCTCGTCCAGCGAACGGAAAGGCACGTTCATGGCCGCCCACTGGCCGTAGTAGCGGTCATTCAGCTCGTACACGGTCTCGACGCTGACAACCTTCTCGCCCTGCGTGCTGTACGCCCGCGCGAACTGCCCCAACTTGGGAAAATCCGCCGCGTCGTCGCAAGTCTCCGCTGGCAGTCCTTCCGGGCGACATGGAACTGATCCCAGAGAACTACGAGCATGGGCAGTTCCGCACCGGTCGCCGCCCCCTGCCGAGCGCTGAGCAGATCTACAAGGGCATGCAGATCTACCTCACGAAGAACGTTCGCAAAGAGGATGATTACGTGAATGGCATGAAATGCGTGGTCGAGAACTACCACGAGGCCGAAGGCGTCCTGCGCGTGAAAACAAGAATGGGGCACCGCCTCGCTATTTTCCGCTGGACTGATCGCGAGAAGAATAATGCGGTGTAGTTTCCGATTCGTTGAGGACACGCTAGCACGATAGATAAGGTCCAGGGCGATGAGTTTTCGCATATCACGATATACTTATCGCCCCATCGGAACCCACCTGCTCTACCCACGAGAGGAATGAGGACCATCGACTACTTCCTGCCTAGCCGCGGCCTCAGCAAGGCTGTGCGATCGACCGCCCTTGATGAGGCTCGGACCTCGCCCCGCGCACTCCTCCCCTGCTTACCCTTCTCCTCCGCGCCGCCCGCCTCAAGGTCATGGCTTTCCAGCAGCCCCCGCGCTTTGCCCTGGACCGCACGATCGGGCCTTCTCGCCCTCCGCCAGATTACGGGGACATCCGCGCTGATCTGACTGAGGTGCTGCGGGCCGCTCAGCAGGGCAGAGGTGGAGCCACGCAGGAAGGACTGAATAGGGTTTATCGGCATGGGGCCGACCATGCCGAACTTGAGCTCTGCAGGATCGCCAACCAGGAGTTACCTCGGATGGGCCTTCGTGGAGCCAAGCCTAACATCATCTGGAAGAACCTGCTGGACTCGGATATGAAAGAAGACCGACACTCCGACCTTTACGCTGTGCGTTGGCTCCACCAGAGGCTCACCATTTTTCCTGCACTCGGTGCAGGCTCGTCCAGAGCCAGACGGGGACCACCCCGTTCCTGCTTCTCTTGGCGATCCTCCCTCGGGTGTACTTGTTGTGCCGCTGGCCGTCAAGTGTGCTCGGGAGGGTCGTCAGTCCCTATCGTTTCCCAGACCGGCCTCGAAATTGGAGAACGCAATCGCCCGCTTCGAGGCGGTTCGCTCGGCTTTCTTTGCAGTGCCCCCTCAGGTGACTAAGGGTCAAGGCGGGCATCACTCTTTGTTCACCGAAGCTCTGGCGTTAACAGCCGGGGCCAGCCTTCGTTTGAACACGGAGCTTGCAGCTAAGGAGATGTTGAGCCGCGCGTCGGACATCCTCGCGCAAGTGGTTAAGGCGGCCCAATCTATAGGACGTTCTTCGTGGACGGAATGATTAAAGGTCGGCATCGAACAAGGGGCTCGCAGGGTGCACAGGTCACTGATACCCTCAAGTCTTGGACCGCCACGGCCGTCCTGGCCTATGACAACACGGTCGTCAGCGACCCTCTTTCGATTTTGGCCGCGGAGGCCCATCGGTTTCAAGGCCTGTGGGAGGCCAAGCTCGCTCCGCCTCCCCCTCCTAGCGATGTTACCCCGTTTGAGCCCCCCCCCTCCTCCTCCTCCTCCCTCCTCCTCCCCCCTCCTCCTCCTCCTCCTCCTCCCTCCCCTCCTCCTCCTCCTCTCCTCCTCCTCCCCGGCCGCGCAGCAGCAGCAGCCTCTCCCCATCCCCTTCCTGGTGGGGGGGGGGGGGGGGGGGGGCGGGCCTGCAGCCCGCCCATGTCGGCGGCGCCCTCGATCTCCACGCCGCGCTTGCCGCCCTCCTTAATCACCTGCGAGGGAGCGCCCGCGCTGAGGGTTCGATGACCGAAGATCAAGGATCGAGGAGGTTCGCGATAAACCGAGCGAGAAAGGGGACCTATCGACGAGAGACTCGAGAAGTCGCGCGGGGCTCGACGGAGGGTTCGACGAACGAGGCTTCGAGGGATCGAGGCTGCGGCCTCCGCCGCCGCGGCCGACGTCCCCAAATCTCCGACGATATGAGTTTCCAGTCCAAGCGTGTTTCTGTGATGTCTGCCCTCTAGGGCCCGCTTTCGGCCCCCAAGGCAATCAAAAACAAACCCCGGAAGAAAAAAAACTACCCCAGGGGAAGGGGCTGGAAACTATGGGGCCGCAGATTGAGTTCTCGAGGGAAATTCATACCGGCGGATGTCGGGGCCGTCGTCACCTTCGCCGCCGGCGTCGGCTGCGTCGGCGTCGGCACCGCCCCCCCCCCCGGCCTCCGACCTCCAGGGGGGGATGGGGGGGAGACAGGAGAGGGGCCGCCCTCTGCGGGAGCAGGGCGCGTGGAGAGTGGGGAGGGGAGGGAGGGAGGAGGACCTGCGACGGGAGGAGGCGACGGGAGAGGGGCCTCCCTCTCGGAAGGAGGGAGCGCGGAGAATGGGGATGGGAGGGAGCGAGGAGAACCTGCGATGGGAGGAGGAGACAGGTCGGGGGCGCACTGACCCGGGTCAACCCAAGCCCGGGTCAGTTAGGCCTTGCAGCCTGGCAGGATCCTGCAAGATCCTGCAGGGTCCTGCAGGATCCTGCACCCAAAACCGGGTGAGCTCACCACTGGCCCTGTAGGATCCTGCAAGAGCCGGCGCTCTGACTGACCCCCCTTTGCAGTGACCCCCGTCTCTTGAGCCCCGAATGGGAGAGGAGCCTCCCTCCAGAAAGAGGAGAAAGGAGAGGGGACGGGCAACGGGCAAACCTGGAATGCCAGGCCCCATGTCCCCTCAATACGCTTCTCTGCCAGCGTTTTCCTCAAGCCCTGCGTGGAGCGCCTCCTTCCAAATACGGGCGCCCCATGGGAGATGGCCATCCGGGCGAGATCCCCGTTTGGAGCAGAATCCTTTCTCAATCCGTTTGGCTCTAAGACGTGAACCTACGTATGATCACAGCTTCCAGCGAGAACTCCGTTTTGAAAGGGGGCCGCACTGCCATCACTGCAACCTTTTCATATTTGGCGACTCCAGGTCGTAGGACGCCAGGAAGTCTCAAGCTGAAGACCCCTTTTAGAAAAAGACCCACCCTCCATCCGAACAGCTGCTCCATAATGCTCAACGTCTCTGCTCGCGAAGCCTGTCAAATCTTGAGCGATGGAACAAGTCGGCAAACGAATCGCACTCCATTTGGGCAACTGCTGGAATACTTCGAAACGAATGCGCGCAACGTTGAGGCGAGAGCCACTCGGAAAACGGCTCGCTCTCCACCCGAGTGATTGCTGGACACTTGTGAGACGAATACGCGCGGCCCCCAAAAGCAAGAGCCCCGCGTTGAACGAAACCTGCCCAAAATATGGGTGATGTGTGGAATGTGCTGAGGCGAACGGCCCGCTTCAGAAGTATGGTGATGAGGAAGTATGTGGACCTGCCGATGTATCCAGGAGCTTCAACAGCGCGACGCAAAGCTGCGAACCACACTTGAGGAACGGCTCGCCGTCCGTCCGTGTAACTGCTGGATAGCTCATGCTTTAAATTCTTCCATGGTCCATGGTGAGGAGGCCTCAGGCGAAACGCTCGACCCGCCCTACTGATACGTCCGGCCGTGCGAAAAATCGAAGGAAGAGGAAGGGAGGCTGGCGGAGGATGAGGTGAAGGAATGGAAGGGGGAGGAGGGGGAGGAAAGGAGGCGAGGAGGAGAGGGGGAGAGAGAGAACACGAGCGGAGTTCAAGAGCACCAGCAGCAGGAGCAGGAGGTCTTTGAACATTTTCTCGGGTGGGCGGAAAACGTGTCCGAAGATTTCCGGGAGGGAGGTCCAGAAGAGAGGGGCGACGAGGGAGGAGATGCGGAAGAGGATAGGGAGGAGGTGGCGGATGAGGAGGAGGAAGAGGAGAAGGATGAGGCGGGCGGAGGAAGAGGAGGGGAGGAGAGCGGGGGCGGGGGTGGTGCTTCAGGAAGTTTCTCGAGGCGGAGGCAGAAGAATGAGGGGGAAGAGGAAAAGAGGAGGAGAACCAGAGTAACCCGAGGGTGCAGCATCCATCCTGCAGCACACGTTTCCGTCCCAGGTCGCCTCACCAAAAGCCCCTGCTGAGAACTCTTTCTCGCTATGGAAGCGCCTCGTTTAAACACGAGCGCCCCAAGGGGCCGGCCGTTCAAGCGAGAGCCCTGCATCGCAAAGGGACCGCCCTTCACGGGCCGAGCTATAAGCAGTGCAACGGGCATGACCGTCAAAGTCCACGGAGGCAACATGCGAGAACAAGATTTTGGAAAAGAGCCGCAATCAATCCGCTGAGCTGTTCCGGAGCTTAAAAATTCACCGGTTACATCATCAGGATGCTTCCAGCGAGTCCGTCAATCAATCGAAGTCTTCATTCAAAAGAGGGCCGCCCTCCATACGCACAGCTGCTGCAGTAGAGCCTCGGCTCAAGCCAGACTTTGAGCATCGGCCCGCCCTATATCTTTGATGGTGGGGAGCTTTCAAGACAAAATGCGCGGCGCCGAAGCGAACGCCACCTTTTGAAAACAACCGGGCCTCCATCTTCGTCGCTCCTGGGGATTTGTCAAGTGAATGTGCGCAGCTAAGGCGAGAGTCACGTGTTGAAAACGACGCGCCGTCCACCCTTGACTGCTGGACAGGTTTGGGACTTCGAGGCGCTAGGGAGAGAGCCACAGGTTGAAAACGGCCAACCCTCCATCCGCACGCGCTACTGTGAGAAAATTCGAGCTTCGGAAACATGGTGGTGGGGAAGTACCCCCCTTCTCCTCCTCAGGAGGACGTGTCCACAGCATAATTGTTCTTCAAAACGCTGGGGGCGTGTAATTTTTTCCGTTTAAAACTTGCAACGGGCACAAAACGGCAACTGAAAACAATTGTTTAAACGGATCGCGAAAGGAACCGAAAACGGCGAGACGGCAATCCCAACACGGAAATAAAGCTGCTCCCGAAACAAACAACAACAACAACAACAACAGCAACACCAACAACAACAACAACAACAAGCACGTCGATCGTGAAAAAAACAAAACATCAACAACAAAACAAAAACAAAAACGTTCTCAATAACTTCTAAAATCCAGAGGTTCCTGGAGCCCTGTGGACACATCCGCAGGTCCACGCGCTGGAAGCCTCCATCCAAACTACTGTGAAAACGTTCTAGTTTTGGAAACATGCTGGTGAGGAAATGACCTCCTCTTCCTCCTCGTCCTCCTCGGGAGCAGGCCTGTGGAAGTTCTAACACGTGGACCTGCGGATGTGTCCAGAGGTCGGGCACGTCCGCAGGTCCACGTACTGACCGTCCGAGACAAAACTGTCTTTGATCCTGGTACGTCGACGGTCAGGGGTCCTCCTCCTCCTCCTCCTCCTCCTCCTCTTGTTCCTGATCCTGCTCCTTCTCCTCCTCCTCCTCCTCCTCCTCCTCCTCTTCTCCTCTTCCTCCAAACAATGACTATATACCTACCAGACAGACCCAAACCCAACCCGAACACCCGAATTTGACTCGAATTTCGGATGGGGGGGGTGCGGGATCCATGTGTTTTTCCCAGCCATCCTGTGGTGTGGGGTCCTCGCTTTGAAGAGACGGCGCCCCGCGTTCTTCCTTCCCGCCGTCCAGCCCTCCAGCCCTCCCGCCTCCTCCTCCTCCTCCTCCTCCTCCTCCTCCTCCTCCCCCGTAACCATTTTGGCTCAAGCCGTTCTGGCACAAGCCTACCGTGGGCAGGTGGCGCCTGCTATCTCTTTAGCCTGCCGTAGGCAGGTGGCGCCTGCATTCTCGCTGACCAGCAGCACCGCCCCAGGCCAGCAGCCAAGCCTGGGGCCTCCCTCGCACCAGTCAGACATGGGCGGCCAGCGGCAAGCCAGCCGTGGCCGAGGCGAAGGGCGCAAGTACCTTTGCTGCCAGTCGGGCGGGTGCAAAGGATGGGCATGGGCTGACAAGCCGTTCAAGTTCTGTGGCCAGTGTGGAGGAGCCTTCATCGGTCGACGGCCTGCCCAGTCAGTATCGACCAATGCCAATCAGAACGCGAATCCTGACGGCATCCCCAATCGGTGGCGGAGGCGCACAGTCAGCCCAGCGCCGAAAGGCCACCCCAAAGGAGCTGCGGGAGTGCGAGCACCAGAGGAACCTGAACGTGACCCAGTCGCTGTGTGTTCGGCGGCGGTCCAGTTCTGGCAGAAGATGGAAGGCACCCCTGGGCAGCACTACCTGCAGGCCGTGAATGAGTTGAAAGCAGTGCAGGCATCAACGTTGGCAGCCAAACCTTGGGATCAGCAGAGGAAACCCCTGCACAATCAGCTCGAGGTCACCAAGAGGAAGCTGACCAGCGCCCAGCATGAATGTGACAAACGTGCGAGGCCATTGCGACGATGGCCAACGACTATAAGAAGCAGATCAAAACTGTTGCCGACCTCACGTCTGAGGTGCAGCAGCTCGAGCCCCAGCACAAGATGGCGGCCCAGCAGGCGCTCAAGGAGCATGCGTGCGAGGCCCCAAGTCTGGAGTCATTCATCTCCAGCCAGTTCCCGCCAGGGTTCGCACCATCCGCCGAGGTGCAGACGGCCGTTACGCAGCTCGCGGCCAAGCTGCACGTGGAGTGGCAAGCGGCGCAGGCGGTGCAGCATGCCCAGGCTGCGCAGGCCCAGCCAGGCCCACGGGGCCCAGGCGGTCCCAGGCGGCGCGCCAAGCCAGGCGTCCGCCGACGCCCCAGCCCTGCCGCTGGCGGAAGGCGGACCGCCCACGCCAGCGGGCCCTGGCGCAGCGGACGGCGCTGCAGGTGGTGCTGACATCAGCCCAGAGGAGGCCGCAGCCTACGACGAGGAGGAGAAGGCCATGGAGAAATGGAGATCGAGGAGCTC